CCTGTTTTTTTTCTACACTCACTTCCTGAGTGATCTCAAACAACCTTATATAGCTTTAAATACCAGCCGCCTGCAGACACCTTTCAAAAGATAGCTTCAGCCCGGAACATGCTCCTGAGGTGAGGCTACCATTTCTAGCTGCCTACGGGATGACTGCTTTTGGACGTCTAGGAGGTATGTTAACCTTACCACGTGTAACACTGAACTCCTTATCCTCCTCCAAATCTACTCCTTCCCTAGTGTCCACGTCTCAGTTAATGGCAATTCTGTTTTTCCACTGGCTCAAGAGAAAATTTTTTTGTCATTCTTGACTTCTTGTTTTCTCATACGCCATCAAGAAATGTCAGAGCTATCTTCATAATATGGAATTTGACCACTTCCACTGCTACCTATTACCTTCTAACCTGTCCTCCAGCTTCAGCCTTTTTGCTTTCAGGCTGTTCTCCATCTGGCAGCAAACTACCCTGTAAAATCCAGTGTCAGATCATGTCACTCCTCTGCTCAAAACCATCTTTATTTTGCCTAGCAAAAGCCAAGTTCCTAATAATGCCCTATATAATCTCTTTCTTATACATTTACATAGTAAGCACATTGCTGCCTCAGGACCTTTGCATTTGCTGGTCTCTCTGTGGAGAGAGTGGTTCCTTTTACTTTGTACCATGGACCCCTTTGGCAGTCTGTGATGCCTATGGATTCCTTCTCAGAATGATATCTTTAAATCCATAAAATGAGTTTCATGAATTATAAGGAAAATGAATTATATTGAAATACAACTCTCAAAATATTTTTAAATTGTGTAATATAGTAATATATGTGTTCCTTATTAATTCATTAAATCATAAGAGCTAGCAGCACAATTACAAAGTAGTGATAACTGTCATGATATTTTAAGATAGTTGTAACAACTATACTGTGATATGAAAATATCTGTGATTGCTACAAGCAACAGTGTCACAGGTGCTGCTAATAATACTGCAATTTGCTGTCTGCATTCATAGTTGAAGAACTTGCTAAATGTTAATTAGTGAAAATAGAGGTATAATTTTTACCCCATCTAAAGTCAGGACCCCCTGGATTTCTATCCACAGATCTCTGGAGGGGGGGCAGTGACCTTGTGGACTCCATGCCAAAGAAGCCCCAGCTTAGAATGTTCCCTCTTCTCCCATAAGCCCTCCCAGCTCATTCCTTCATTTCCTTTTATTCAGAAGCCACATTCTCAGGCAGTTCTTCCCCGAGGACTGTATTTAAATTGCAAGACCACATTCCCTATCTCCCTTTCCTACTTAATTTTTTCAGAATAGCATTTACTCACCTTCAAATATAATATATTTTTTAAAGATTTTATTTATTTATTTGACAGAGAGAGACAGCGGGAGAGGGAACACAAGCAGGGGGAGTGGGTGAGTGGGTGAGGGAGAAGCAGGCTTCCCGCTGAGCAGGGAGCCCCATGCAGGGCTCAATCCCAGGACCCTGGAATCATGACCTGAACTGAAGGCAGACGCTTACCCGACTGAGCCACCCAAATGCCCCTAAATATAATATTTTATTTTAAAAAATTGTGTATTTCTTTCTACTAGAAAGTGAGTTCTGTGAGAGGGCGTTATTTTTGTGCTGTGTCCTTAGCCTCTAGCATGACGCATGGTATACAGGAGGCACTCAATAAATATTTGTTGACAAAAGTGAATGATTACATCTCCAAGAACTTTATGTTTCTTTTTTTTTTTCTGTAGTAAGTTAATGATTTGTGAGACTTTTACTAAAGACTAAGGAGTTATAATTAGCACCATTGCTATTATTCTGTTAACATTTTCAAGGTTAACCTTAAACAGTAGCAGAGAGCAGTGGAAATCCAAGAATTCTGATGGAGCTTCCAGTCCTAAACAAGAAGTGCCTTCCAAGGACTCCTTCGGGGACCTGGCTTTCCCCCAAAGTCAGTGAACCACCTTAGAGGCAAAATGCCACCCACAAAATTCTTTCTTGCTATTATGACAATCAGGCCCCCATCCTCAATGAAACCAATAATGCTAATACTTTTTATTTCTGGCAGGGTGGTAAAATGGAAAAAAGGCAGTCTTTGAGATCGTCTGCTAGGTGCCAATTCTATATAAGCACTTGCTAGCTTGTGTGACTGTTGGTAAGTCACTAAACCTTTCTGGATAGGTAAAATGAGATTTTTGTGAGGACAAAATGGAATGAGTTGCATAGTGCACAGCACAAAGCAAGTGCTCTATAAACGGTCATCTTCTCCCTCTTCTATCTCTCTAGGTCATTTTATAACTACTTGCCAAGGTCACAGGATCCCGACCGCTAAGAGGAGGAGCCTCTCCAGCCTTTTGGTGCACATTAGCCCTCTGCAACCAGACCTGATCAGAGCAGTTTCTTTAGGCTGTGCCACTGTCAGCGGGTGCCTCCATTCCCACTTCAGATGTGTGGTTGAGACTGCTATCTGGACCTTGACCATGAAGCCCACCACGTACCCCAGTTTTTTCTCCTGGCCTTTCTTTTTGCCCTTACTAGGAGATCTTGTCTATGTTCTCATGGAGAGCAAGACAGAAATCATTGTCCTGCAGTTTTTCAGTGTTAAGAACTTTCAGGAGCACATTCACCCTTCCAAAACTTAAGCACCAGAGAAAATGCTCATGTGTGATGTGCACTCTGAGCCAGTATTAGTGTTTGTGTTTTCACAAACAGCAGATATACAAACACACTGCTTCAGGACCCCTCCAGCCATCCTGTTCTACGGAAGAGGAAAGAGACCCAGAGAAATGAATGCACTTGTCCACATCAAGTAGCTTCTCAACTGCAAACCTAGGATTAGAATTCAGGTAGTTAACCATTTTGTTACATGCGAACAGCCTGCGTCATGTTTTCTGCCATGGAGCTTGGGTTTGAGAAAATCCTAACAACTGACCACTCAGAGCTGGAGTCAGGTCTAACCAGGAGGTGGTACCCCAGTTCCTCAATCTTGCCAGACAAGCCTCCCCAAACTTTGTGAATGAAGGCCAAGGAAGAAAATGTTGCAGTGCCTCCCTTTGAGCGCCTATTTCTTTCTTGTTGCAAAAAGTGCTTATTTCTGCATTCATCATCTCTCTCTTTGTTGTGTAGACAATTTACCCTGTCAGAGGATTTGTGCTGTTATTATGAGTTTGTTTATTATTAGATTTATTTCTCCTATAAGCAAATGTGTTCACAACATTCCATCGGGGGATCTTTTTAATTGTCACATAAATGTCATCTTATGTAAATTGAATATTTATCTTTCCACTGAAGGGGGGGTAGAAGGGAAAGAAGGAAAGAATAAACAACCTTCAGTCTTGGAGAGGGAAGGCGGTTCCTGATCCCGTTCACAACTCACCCACGTGCCGTCAAAGCCAAAGGTGAGTTGAAAAAAATGATTGTATTATCTCTGAGGGGCAGCCAAAAGGGAGAGGAAAAGAAAAGTTGGCAACGATGCTTTGGGGATGTTGACCCAGGCTCCCAGGTCTCCCCCACCAAACCCAGCCTGAGACCAGACCACCCCCTCCCCAGCTGGGAGCATCCGGAGAAGGCTGCAGCTGCCCCCCACCCCACCCCACCCAGGAGGCCAGCCCAGCTCCTTCCTCGAGAGAAGGTGAGCGCGGCGGGCGCAGCGGGTTAGGTGGGTGTGGCCCGTGGCTCCGGGAACCGACCCAAGGCCCTGCCACCGCCCGCGAGCCGCCCGACAGCCCGCCTGCCTGGCGAGCGCAAGCGCTTCTTCCAGAAACTGCGAGGATCCGAGCGCACTGTTTGTGCACCACAAGGTCAAGTCGGGAAGTGGAGCCGGAGGAGGAGGGGCGAGGAGGCGAAGGGTGGGGAAAGGGGCGCCCCGCTTCCTCGCCCAGTGCCAGCCTTTGGAAGTTGCCCCCTCGATTTTTAACCCTTTAGGGGTAATGGGAAGGACGAGCTGGGGGTTGGGGGAAGGGGACACCGTGGGGCAAACTCCTACTGGGACTGGGGCGAGCAGCTACCCACCCACCCATCATTGCGTTCCCCAACCCCCGGAAATGCGGGGCAGAGCTGGGAGCCCGGAGGCACCCGGGCGGGGGAGGGGGGCGACGAACCCGAGAAGGACCCTCTCTACGGACCGCCCCTCTTTCTTGAGGTCGCCCACAATTTCAAGTTCCCCCCGCCCGGGTTGTTAGTTTCCATCTGCCGTGGGTGGGGGAGGAGGGCCGCGCCCCCTCCCCCAGACTCGCGCGCGCGCCCCTCCCCTCCGCTCCTGCCAGCACTTTCTGCTCACTTCTGGCGCTGCAAAGCGCCACGCGATTTATTCGATTCGCATTTTTAAACCAGCGATTCAGGAGCAGGGCCTAGGGCGAGGGTCTTCCAGCGTTGGAGCCCCGGGAGGCGGGGTGCTCAGTGCAAACCTCGTTCCCTCCGCGAGTGTCGCCTTCAGGCTGTTATTTGCAAAGAAACGTCTTTTTGACGCAGGGAGAAATGGCAAATTTTAAGTACGTCATTAATATGGCGCCAAAAGATTTTTTTAAGTATAAGCTTGCTTTTTTTTTTTTTTTAAAGGTTGCGGGGGGCGCCGCCCGGGTCTGGGGCGCGAAGGGGGCGGAGTGTGAGCAGAAAGTGTGAGTGAGAGAGTGGAGGGGCGGGGTATGTGTGTGAGTGTGTGAAGTGTGAGCAGACCTGATGGGACTTGCACGGGCGCAGCCGCCGCTCGGGCCCGGCCCTGGGGACAGAGCGGGCTGGGGGCGCCCCAGAGCCCACGGGGAGTCTGGGCCCGAGGTGCAGGCAGACGGGCAGCCCGGCAGAACACCCTCCCCCATGAGGCCTGCAACGCTACCTGGACCCGCTTCCGAAGCCAAACAACTGGGCGGGGGGTGGGGCGGGCGGCTGGGGGTGTCAGGAGTGGAGATCCGAGTGAATAAGAAAAAAGTGGCTACTCCCCCTCCCTCGCTCCTCCCGCCCGCCCCCACCCCACCCCCACACATTTTTTTTTTTTTTTCTAAAGAGATCACAAGGAAGTCTTGGTTTAAAAAGAAACAGAAACATACACAGGGGGATTGGTGAATGGTGCCGACCGCGGCCATCGCAGTTGGAGGCTATTTTGAGGGGGGGGGTGAGTAGCGTCCATGGAGTTACTTTGCGCCCATTCCTAGCTGCAAGGGTTTAGGTCCAGAGGGCTGACCGTCCCCAGCAAGGGTGCGGGGCCGGGGACGCCGCGGGCCTGGCCGCCTCCCTCACCGCGACCCCGGATGGATGCGCGCCCCCCGCCCGCCCGCGCCGGCCCCAGGAGCTCGGGGTTTCGGGAGCATCCTTCCCGCGCCGGCCCCCGCCGCGGCGCGTAGTCCAGGGCAGCGCCCCTCGGAAGGGCACCGTGGAGGAAGGTAAGATCCAGCCCCCAGCGATGGGCCCTGCGCATCTCCACGGCGTTATTTTGTGTTTTTGCAACAGATCTGCCAGCGCTCCTCGCTCCCTCGCTCTCTCTCTCTCTCTTGCTCGCTCGCTCCCTCTCTCTCCTGCTGGCTGCCTGTTCTAGGAAGCCAGGGCGCTGGGGGGGGGGGCGGGAGATGCACAGCACAGGGGAGAGAGATTGCGCATGTTGGTCAGTCGTGTTTTAAAGAGTACATTGCGGGGAGGCTGAGAGGGGCGCATGCAACAACAACTTTTGGAAGGGTGAGCTTGGCGACCTTCTTTATTAATGACTGCGGCAAAGCGCCCCCGGGCCGGTGAGGGGGCGCGGGCGGGCGGGGGCGCGCCAGGGCTGCAACTTGCCCCGCGGGCTCTGGCCGCGCGGAGGGTCTGCGGCGGGAGACAGCGGTGGTGGGGAGGTCGTTCCGCCGGGGATGGGCGTTCAGAGGACCTGGAGCTATCTGCCCTCCTGTCGCCCTGAGTTTCATTTTGTTGATACGCAGCACGTCCGGCCGCCGAACCGGGCTGAGCCGGTGCACATGACTCCGCGCTGGGCTCACGTGCAGCCGGTCCGGTCCCAGACACCTTCCGGGGGCCACCGCCTCCGCCCTGTCGCCCCCTCTCTGGGTTGGGTGCACGCGGGCGCTGCACGCGGGGGCAGCAAGCTTAGCTCCCGGGCGCGGAGGCTCTGCACAAATTAAACACAGTGTTTTGGAGGGGCGGGGGACACCCTTTCCAGGTGAGTATGCCGGGTGTGCAGCCCCGACGTACCGGGCGGGGGCTGGGGTCGGGGGCAGCCCCCCCCTTCGGGGCTGCGCGGGAGACCGGCGGGGAAAAAGCGCTAGGAGAGTGGAAATGTACCGGCTGCGGCCGGAGCGGCGGGTGCGCGCCCGCGAGGCAACGGCAGGGGGCGTGGCCCTTGTTTACCTTCTCCCAACTCTGCCGGTTCGCGTCCCGCTTCGGGGACGGTACTGCAGTCCCCTGCCCTCCGCCTCCGTCTCTGCCCCGTGGGTGGTACCGGGAAGATGTAGGCAAGTGGCAGTCACAGCCCGGGACATACACACCTGACCCTCAAATAAGTGACCCTGCAGCCCCAGCCCCCACCAAGCACCGCTGCAGTCCCTCTCCCGGATCCCCGGCCGCGCCCCGCCCCCGGCAGTGGCATCTTCCCGGCCTCACCTCCTTCCTCCCTCCCTCCCTCCCTCCCTCCTTCCCACCCACTCGCCTGCGCCTGCGGAGCGGCACCCGCCCGCTTCCTCCCCGCCTGGCTGCAGACTTGTGGCTCCCTCCGGTCCCTTCCCGCCTATCCCTGAACCTAAGACACTCTAGTCTCCAGGCCAAGGGATGAGAAGGGGTCAGCTTGACGACTCGTAGCTGTTATATCAGAAGGTGGGGATGTCTGCTAGACTGGAAGCCTTCGCTGTGGCTTCCAGAGGCCCAGGACACCCCACACACAACCAGTCCCCCGCCACACGTAGCTGCCCACTTCCCTAGAGATTCGGCTCCTCTTACCGCCTTCACCTAAAGCCCTCCCCACGCCCCAGGCGTCAGGTCCACCGCCCCCGGCCCGAACCGCCTCTTGCCCTTCCTTCGCCTGGGCCGGAGCCCCCCGCAGCCACCTCCGGCTCCTCCTCCCGGCTCCCGCGGTCGGAATCACGCCGGCGCGCCTTCAGCCTGCGGTCCCGCGGACTGCCTCCAGGGGCAGGCTGGAGGCACGCGCCACCCCTCCTCCCAATCCCCTTAGCCTCAACCGCGGGCCGGGACGCTTTTTTTTTTAACCACCTTGGCTGCAGATCTCTTGTGCCAGGAGCTGTTGGGGGCGGGAGGGACCGTGTTTCCCTGTGCCCTGAGCCAAGGGCATGCTGCGCCGGGCGACTCTGGTCTCTGCAGATTTCCAGACTTTGCTCCCGCGCTTAGCACCCCTCGCTCATCCACTGTGGGACATAAAGTTTTACCCAGAGGCTGAGTTTTGTAGGGGGTTATAGGGAGGCTCCTTGTCTGCACTCACAGCGGAGCTAAAGAGGATTGGGGAGGGGCTGAAAGGGCAGGACTGGCCAGCCGCCTTGCCTTTGTTGGAAAGGGGAGGAGCCCTGAGTTTTGAGCCTAGACTGGCGGTCAGGATGTCCCCTTTACGTTTCTGTTTGCAAACTGAATCAGGGGCCCAGGTGGTGGTACGGCTGCCTGGCCCCTCCTCCCACAGTGGCATTAACTCCCTCCCTTTACTGGTAAAATTCCCAGTAGGACATTTGGCAAAGGGGCCGTGCAAGGAGCTGCCAAACGGGCCTGGCCCTGTTTCCTGGGTTCCCAGGGTGCTGGCTTCTCCCCTACCCTGACTTCCTCTCTCACCTTAGGGCCCCAAGTGAACGAACCATCCCTCCCGTCTCTTCTTCCTCAGGCGGGTTGGGACTTGCAAAGCGATCTAACAAGCAGAGGAGGAAAATAACAACAGAATAACTGTAAGGGGAAGGAATGAGTAATAAAGCCGACCCAGGCAGGGAGGAGGGCTTTCATGTTTAAGAGACGCTATTTGCTTTTTAGGTCACAGGCTGCAAAACAGGCTTTGATCCGAAGTGGGCGAATAATTTATTGAGAAAGTTTGCATGGTAGAGGAAAAAAGGGGATGTTTGTTTGATCTGGAGTCCTCAGCGTTGTCCCAAGTGCTGTTGGGTGTTTGGAGTGGAAAAGCATTTGGTTCTACAGCAAATCCCTCACAGAGGGAAGTCCTTGCCCCAGGCAGCAAGCCTTGCACTGAATGTTAGTTTTGAAACTGTTTGGCCAAAGGTCTCTCCAGCACTTTTGGAGTTGAAGTGTTTAAGGACAAAGTTGTTTGGACTTGGGATGCAGCAGTGTTTCCAGAACATTTCCCATCCAGCATGCTTTTCCTTTGCCTAAATTGCTCGGCTAAATGGCCAGTAACACTAATCCAAGAGAGCTTCCACTTGGCTTTCATTGGCAGGTGAGGTGGGACTGCTGGTCCCAGCCCCCAAGGTGCACCCCAGAATTTTGAGAGTAGGCCTTTGACACTGACTACCACATCTTTGAGGTAGCACTGGTGGGGGGGTGCGAGCAGGGTGTTCTGGCTAACTGGAGTTGCTGGTGACAGGGAGGAGGATATCTTATACCCAAGACCCGGTTCAGTGACTTCCAGTCCAAATTCTTCACAACTCATCCAGCAAGCTCTTCGCAGACCTCACAGTTAGTTCTACCTTTAGGTGCTCCAGGGCAAGGTCAGGATTGTGGGGAGGAGTTACCCCTGGCCTGCTTTGTCTTCCATCCACATAGGACCCTGACTGTGTGGCTCAAAGTTTTGGAACCCAGAAAGGTTCTCAGATAACCCATAGGAATCTGGAGTACCCCAGCCACACTCTGGGCTACAACAGGCCTGCGTACCAGCAGGAGGTGGTGGGGCGGGGTGGGGGGCAGGGTACACCACCTGGCAGTCAGATAACCTGTATTTGAATGCTATAGCTTTGCAGTCACCAGCTGTGACAGTTGCTTTGTTCCTCACTTTCTTCATCTGCAAGTGGGGTTAATAACAGTCCCTACCCCATGATTGGTGTATGGATTGAGCAATATATTGCATAAAGAAGATTAAACACAAAGCCAGGCATGTGGTAAGCACTTGATTAGTATTGGTCATTTTTACTATTATTAATGATCTGGAGAGGGCCCAGATGCAGCTTTGACCTTTGATCTCTCCCCTTTAGGCTAGGCCAGAGAGCCAGCTCCCTTCCCTGAAGAAGGGCTCCAAAGGACCGTGCAGTGGCCAATGGGCAGCCGTCTGTGGGAGTGAGCGGACTGAGCTTTGCCCTCTCTGAGGTGGAGGGTAGGGTGAGAAGGTGCAGAAGGACAAAGTAGACAAAGCCCTTTTCATTCTTCCAGGATCCCCTAGGTATGTCCCCAGAACTGGGTTTGGGGGGTGAGTGTGGGCAGCATGTTTCAAGGGAGCTGGGTACCCTCTGGGACACTTGGAATTGCAGGTGGGCCATGATGAGTGTTGGAGGAGGGCTAAGGCGCCCCTATGCTCGGAGAAGCAAGTTTGAGGATCTGTGTGTACAAAATCTTTTCTGTAATAGCAATTACTGTCCCCGAGAAGGCATTAAAGTTAATGAGAGATAGGAAAGAACGGGGCTCTGACCCCCGCTTAAAGTGGTTTAAGAGCATGCAGTTCTTGTTTTCTGAATGTCTGGCCTTCCCGACACAAGGAGGCTCTGAGGACAGGTTTTCCAGCCGAAATATCATTAAATTGTATTAGCATCTTATTACACACACGCCTAAGCGGTCTGCCTCAGACAGGGAGAGTTTTTGTTTCTCTTTGAAAGATTGTGTCTGGAATGGTAAATTGCCTGCTTGAAAGCCATTCCCCCCCCTTTACCTTTTTTAAGGAGGAAGACGGAGTCCTGCTGTGTGTGGTGGCGGGCAGGGCAGGCCTGGTGGCCCCCGGGGAGGAGAGGCCAGAGGCCAGGTTGGGGTGTTTTAACTGCCCAGGGAGCTGCTGCACTAGTGGAGCTGAAAGGCCCACTGTTCCCAGGGTCAGCTGGAAGAGCATTAATGGAGGCCCAGGGTGTTTGAGTTTATTTGCGGAGAGGTCTTTAAAGGGGGCTGGCATTGGGCATTGGTGTTTCAAGTCCAGACCCAAGGCCCCCACTTAGACCAGCGGCTAGTGCTGCCAAGAAAACATCTGCCACCAAGTTGCTGCCCTGTTACTGAGTTGACATTGATCATTAGCCAGGAGCCCAACCAAATAAAGCCTCCTGGAAAATGTGTGAGGTTAAGATGGGGAAGGCAGGCTGTGAAAACAGGACAAAATCTTGGCCTGGGGTGTTTGTTCCTGCAAGCTGTAGGCCGGCCAGCTGGGCTCTGTGCTCCCCACACTTCTGTAGGGAGGGGACAAGAACATACTCCACACTCCCTGGGTACCAAGCCCGTGTTGTGTGCTGGGGATAACATAAGGGGCCATCGGGGCTCCCACGGAGATCCAGACAGATGGTGCTCCTCACTCTCCTCTCCAAGGAGGAAGGCATTCAACAAGTAGATCACCAGACTGTAATTATGGTGGAGGCTCTGAAGATGTGGACTAACGGCGTTGTGGGCTCTCTTTAGATAAGGTAGCGGGCGTAGACCTCCCTGATATTTAAGCTGAAATGTGAAGGATAAAACATCAGACATGTACGTACTACATAGAATCTTCCAGGCAGAGAGCACATCTGTGCACAGGTCCCAAAGCATGGAATATGTGGCTTTTTTCCGGAGATGAAAGGAGACCAATGTAGCTAGAAAGCCGTGAGGAAGGGGATAGTGGGCCCTGTGAACTTGCTGAGGTAGGGAGGGGCCGGATCGTGTAGGATATTGTGGTCAAGAGTTTGAGTTTTGTCCTTTGATCAGCAGGAAGCCTTTGAAAGATTTTAAAAAGGGGGTATGACATGATCTGATTTATGTTTTTTTAAAGGTCACTCTGGCTGCTCTGTGGATTCTAGATAGGGGAGGAGCGGTAGCGGGAGCTGGGAGATGAATGCGAAGTCCAGGCAAGAGATGGGACTGGTTTGGGCCAGGGTGGTAGCAGTAGATAGGCAGGGACAAATGGATGCATTCAGCGTAAGTTCTGGAGGGAGAGCCCACTGGACTTGTCAGGGGTTGGCTGTGGGGCAGAGATTGCACAGAGAGGCCGTGGGGCTGCTGCACTGAAGGACCCCTAGGACACCATGCTCAGAGGAGAGCTGCGTTTCTGTGTCTCTGTGCTGGGAATGGTGTGGGAGGTGCCAAGGGGAGGGAAAGGGGACCCTTGCTCTCCTAGGCTCTCCTTTATAGGTAGGTCTTCAAAAGCACTTCTACCCCCATAAGTAAGTGCCTTAGGACACTGGGGTGTTCTCCCAGAGCAGACCTTGCTTTGGGAGAGATTGGAGGGGCCAGTGGAGAGAGGAAACTAGAGGCCAAGACCCAAGTGTCAGCACCCACGCCCCTGGCCTGGATTTTGGCTTTGTTGAAGGAGTCCTCCCTGTCTCCTAGCTGTGTTGGAATGGGGGTTCCAGGAACAAAGTGCTGTCCCACGGGAGAGCCCAGGCCTCCTTTGGCACTTCATTAGCCACTGACAGTGGAGGCTCACCTGAGGCAGGGAGGCCTTTGGAACAGACCTGGTTCAAAGGAAAGAAGCTTCACTCACAAAACAGTAGCTTCCCTCTGAAGCCTGGTTATTATTCCAATTAAGCCACACACAATCTGCTCCCTTAATAACACCCTATCCAGGAGAACTCTGGGGTGTTTTCACAGAGGACAGGTTGGACAGGGAGCTGGCTGAGGGTGGGGTACAGGTCTGCACGCTGCAAGTCACTATGATAGGTCCCTGGGCAGCAGGAAACAACATTACCAGAAGGGGATTGGCCGTCAGAGGGTCCTGTCCCAGGTGGTCTCACTTACAGTGTAGGTGCCCCTGGGTGAGGGGGTGTGGCTAGGAGGACTCCTCACCTGGCCCCAGATTATCACAGAATGACTAGCACCTAGGTGGAGAGCCAGCCACTGTGCTCAGGGCTCAACGCTGCTCTCGTTTATTCTCACCAGCCGATTCTGGCCCAGGGATGTGTTTAGTTTGGCCCTCTCAAAGTGTTTTTTAAATTCTGAAGCAGTTGCCAACATTGGAAGTTCAGGAGACTTATGTGAAAATCCAGATTGAATTCTTGTCGTCTGGGAGGTACATCTTTCCCAAGATCCCAGGTCTGTAGAGGAGTAGAGTTAGAATTTGAACTCGACAACCCAAATCCAGAGTTTCTTTTCTTCTTTGGGAGATGTGGGCCCGGAAGTGGAGGCACCTGGGATCCACGGGCAGGATTGCAGGAAAGAACAAGTGGACGCAGTTACAGCACATCTCCTGCTGCTGCCCCCACCTGTGAGAGTGCTGGGCTGGTAAGAGGCAGGCTAGGCTCAGGGCCCTGTCAAAGTCATCTTTGTCACACTCAGATGCTGGAGGAGAGCAAGGATGGAAGCTGTGGGTAGCAGAGCATTATTGTTCCATTCAGTCCACAACCTGGGCCATGGGACTGCTTGTACTCTGTTGGGCAGAGGCAGAGAAGTCTGAAGGTCAAGAGCATGTGCTCCTGAACCAGATAAACTTCTTATAAGCACTGTGATCTTGAGCAAGTCATTTAACCTCTGTGCTTTCTTTTCCTCATCTGCAAAAGGGAAGCAGCCATCATGCCCACTGGCATAGAGGGGCTGCTGTGAGGGTTTCATGAGGTCCCTGTGTACCAAGGCATCCTCCTCTTTCTGCCACAGTGTTTAGCAATTTACATCCCTGGCACTCACGCTGCTGGTTGCCTCAGGCTCTGCCTGCCCCCGTGGAGCTGACAGTGAGCAGCCCAAGGGAATCTTTCCATCATCCTAATCCTGTTGTTAGGGGACACTGGAGTGGGGAGAATGTCTTGGCTGAGGTCAGGTCTGAGGCCGGAGGGTCCTGGTTGGCCCAGAGGTCTGGATGGTCATGCCCCACCTTAAAGAGCTGATGTTCCCTTGTCTCTGCAGGGTCACCGGGATATAAGGGGAAACCCAGGGCTCGGCGCAAACAGACGTGTTGGAGTGGGTGGCAGTGACAGGCGCCCCATGGGATCCCAAGCAGAGGTGGGGACCCCGGTTGGCCAGCAGCTGGACTGAGCAGCAGGACTTCTCTTGACTGACACTGGCTCCTTGCCCTTTGCTTCGGGCAGTGAGGTGGCCCAGGTTCCAGACGAACAGAAGAGTGATTGGAAAATGCCATGGGTCCTGAATCCCAGATCTGTTCTCGCATTAGGACTCAGCTACTGACTAGCTGTGAGACATAGGGCAGGTGAACAAGCCCCTTGGGGTGCTCCCTTCCAAGAAGAGACAAAAGCAAGCCCTGCCACCCTGGACTCTGTGGGATCCAAGGAAATAGTGGGTGAGAAAGTGCTCCCCACAGGCAAGAGTTGACCCTGGCACAAAGGCAGCTCAGTGTGGGCTCAGGTATTAAGACCACATGGATTCAAATCCCAGTTCAGCCAGTTAGAGTCGGACAAGGCCCTGTGCCTCGGTAGTCAGGGAAGCCAATGGCTCGGAGCTTCCGGGGGTGTTAGGATCATGAGCAGAGCCAGTGTTGTTAGAGGAAGGAGTTCAGTATGGGGAGCTGCTCATCCTACCTTGAAGTAAAATCCTGTAGTTGAGATAAAGATGGTTAATGTTCTTATCTGGAAAAGGACAGCGCTTGAAGGAGGGCAGCCCAGCCTAGGACCAGTCCCCCTGGGCCGGGAGTGTCTCAGGAACCCAGCTTGGAGCGTCCTTCCTCCTATGTCTTTTCCACACTCCTCTGGCCACCACCCTCCGAGTGTGCCTTCAGTGCTCTCTGAGCTGGCTTGTCTCTAAACTCAGGTGGCATGGTCCCTCTGGAAGAATCAGTCTTGTTTCCCCTTTCTGCATCTCCTCTAGGGTGGGAGTGGATTCTCTGGACGACCTGAGTTGCCTTGAGTGGAAGCTAGGACTGAGCAGGCCCTAATCATTGTTCTGGGGCCACTGACTCCCTTGCCCTCCTTCTGTCATCTTTGGCTGGACGCCTGCTCATCTTGGGGCTCTGGACTCAGGAGGTGGGAGATGCAGCCCTCTGTCCCACTCCCAGGGCTCCTGTGGGTGGCTTGGGTGAGAGGGTGAGGCTGGCTGGGAGAAGGCTAGGGCAAGAGGGCCTTGTTCTTGTTCTTAACTGCAGCAGGGTGAGTATGGGGAGGTAGGTTATTGGGCAGTTTTCTGAGAGACTGAGGATTTCCCAAGCCTCCTATAAGTGTAATGGAGCCTGCCTTTTGTTGCAGATGGAAGAGAAGAGGCGAAAATACTCCATCAGCAGCGACAACTCTGACACCACTGACAGTAAGGCCTTCCATTTGGGGCTCCTACAAGGAAAGCATTTGAGTAATTATCAGGCCCACAGGCCCAAATGGGGGGAGGCTGCCCCATGGTCTCAGTGTTGATGAAAGCGTTAATCAGGCCAGGTCCTTGTACTTAACTCCTGAGAAAGTCGCACACATGTGTGGCCTCTCGACCCTTGCTGTCTTCTTCACCCTACTCCCCTCTACCCCCTAGGTCTCAATCCCACGTGTTTTGCTCTGGTTGGAAAAGATCATCTCCCCTCTATTTCTTTGCATTTGCTGCTCCTGGCTGCTAGGAGCACATCCCTCTCCCTCTGGCCCTTAATGTTAGATCAGGACCCTGTTGAAAGTCTCTGCACAACAGACAGAAAACCTGTTAAGTTTTATTATAATTACCTGATAGGAGTATCATTTCTTAATTAGCGGTAAGCTCCTTGATAAGAGGGGTCATGTCTGGCTCATTGCTGTGTCCCCAGTTAGAGCAGGTACCTAATAGGTATTCAGTAAATGTTTGTCAATGGAATTAACAAGGGATCTTGGCAGGAGAATCTGAGAGGTAGACTTGTGTATGGGCTGTGTGGCAGCTGGATGACTGGGGGGTCACAGGGACGGTCAAGGAGAAAAGAGGCTTAGGGAGCCCCTTCTCAAATGTAGGGGGAGATAAGGGAGGTTTGCAGAAGGTGGGAGCTTTTCTCTGATACCAGAAGGCAGCTCTTCCCAGATGCCTCAGGAACCTGCCCTGCATGAGCTGGTCTAGTAGGGAGTTCTGTGGTGCCCTATGTAGGAGAGGTACACTGCCAACTCCCTGCAGCCTGGTGGGAACCCACACAGAGGAAGAGGCTGAACTCATTGCCAGGGAGGCTGGGCCTGGAGCCCTGCAGCTCTGCACCTCAGTTTGTTCACGAATGTGCTGAGCAGCTGGGGATAGCCCCCCAAGATCCTGAGGACAAACACCAAGACAGCCAGTCAGTCCCAGCCCCTTCCCGACCTCCAGGTCTCATTCACTGCCCTTTAGAGTCTGTTTGCTCAGCTCGGCTCTGGTGTCTAACCTGGCCAGCCCTTCCTCCCTGTGGCAGGAGACCACAGCGTCCCGCCCTCTGTGGCCGCAACCACATTGCCTGTGGCTTGTCTCAGCAGAGCCAAGAAGAACCGCATCCTTTGCTTCTAACTTCAGTCAGGCACGGGAACCCCTGAGGGCCAGGCACCTGCAGGAGTGGGGGCCTGGGCAGCTGCAGTAGAGTTGGGCTGGATTGTGGCTCACTCCCTTCCCACCAGCCCCCACCCCTGTACCCTGTACCCACTCGTGGCTGCTGCCCCTTGGACCCACGGGGTAAAGGCTGTAGTCCTGCGGTCCAGTAAGGAAGGGCCTCGGACTCTAGTGGTAATAGCTCGTGTTTATCGAGCCATGCTCTGGGCCGGGGACTCTGCTAAGCCTTAAGAGGCGTGGCATCACTGAATTCTCACAGCTTTTTGCCCCGGCGAGGTTTAAGTCATTTGCCCAGGGTGACAAGCTAGCAAATGGGTTTACTTTTTATTTATTTATTTTTTTAAGATTTTATTTTATTTATTTGACAGAGATCACAAGTAGGCAGAGAGGCAGGCAGAGACAGAGGAGGAAGCAGGCTCCCTGCCGAGCAGAGAGCCCAACGCTGGGCTCAGTCCCATGACCCTGGAATCATGACCCGAGCCGAAGGCAGAGGCTTTAACCCACTGAGCCACCCAGGTGCCCCATGGGTTTACTTTAGAGCAGCATTCTTCCTACTGTCCTTTCGTGCCTCTGTGTATCCACTGGGCATCATCCCAGATAGGATGGTGTCTCCAGCTATCCCCACCCAGGGCAGGAATGAAGTGTGGCCACAGATGGCCTCCTTCCCCAAGGAATAAGCAGAGGATCAGAGAGGGCAAGGGACCTGTAAAGGATCACAGAGTAAGCTAATCGTGAGTCTAGGTCACTGCCTTTTATTTCCTAAGCCGCTACGCTTGGTGAGCGGGGGAAGCACTCACGTCCCCACGCGTCCTTGGAGAGGTCCAGAGCAGGGACAGGGGCTCACAGAGGTTTCCACCTCCTGAACATGCAAGTCAGAGCCTTCCTTACAGGCTTCCTGTCCCTGGTCAGGGGTGGGTAGGTGGGTGGTGTCCCTGGCCTTCCAGGGGCCCCTAATGGGCTGTGCTCTCTCTGCAGGTCACGCTACATCTGCTTCACGATGCTCCAAACTGCCCAGCAGCACCAAGTCGGGCTGGCCCCGGCAGAACGAAAAGAAGCCTTCAGAGGTGGGTAGTGATGAGTGTCTGGACAAAGAGGAAGCGGTGGTGAGGAAGTGACAGGAGCGGACAGCTGTGGAGAGTGAGGGAGGGAACACTGCAGATGCGTGGGGGTGGGGGGAGCCTTCTCCCCCAGAGAGAACAGGCCCTGCAGAGCCAGGCCAGTGTGGCTAAGTGCCGTGAATGGGAGAAGGGGGTGCGTGGGCCAGCAGTAGCCGTGTAGGTTGTTGTAAAGATGTTCCAGTTGAGCTGGGTGAGAGTAGAGGCCTTTCAAGGATCATAAGCAGGGTAATGACAGAGTCTGACGTGTTCACAAAAGGCCCCACTGGCTGCTGTGAGGAGAAAGGAAAATGTGGGCAGGGGTGGGAGCCAGGAGGACTTTCCTGCAGTTGTCCAGGAGAGAAGCCATGGTGGCTGATAGCCAAGTAGTGGCAGTAGAAGAGGAAGCAGTCAGATTTGGAATGTTCCAGAGGATAAGCCAAGGGCACCAGGAGGTGCTGATATGGGGGTGAGGGCTGGGGTCCTCAGGATCATCCAATTAAGTCATCTGCTCCTTCTGCCTGTGTCCCATGCATCTGCATCCTAAGCCTTCCGTACTTGGGCCTGGGATGTTTCTTATGGCAGGTAGAGGTAGGTATGCATGCCTTCTTGAGCTGTGGAAAAGAGCACCGGGGGTGGGTAGTGTTGGACATGAATGGACATCATGATCCTGCTTCTTTTGGCCCCTGAAAAATCACATCCTAGGACCACGTCACACTCTCTCAGGTCCTCAGTGCATTGCACTGGGCACAGAAGAGGCCCTTTGCACAGATGCAGTCGCAAGAGCATTGAGCCCCCAAGAACAGGGGATTTGAATCTGGCCCTGCAGCATAGCCAGGAGCTGGGCTGGACATTTCACTTTTTTAATCCTTCTCAGTCTATCTGTTACAATGAGGAAATTTGAGGATCCCAGGGTTATATAGCCAAGACCTGAAGCTCTTGAGGCCAACATTGCCAAGGGTGGGAAGGCCCAGAGTCTTTGTGCATAGCCCTTGAAGTGGAGTCAGGGAGGGTATCTTAGTTCTGAGCCTGGAGCCCTGCTGCCCACTAACCGCAGAAGCAATCATGGCTTCGGGGGCAGTCCTGAGCAGCAGTAGTTAACCTGTCCCTTGGGGATAGTGGGGGCATCTTCTGCAGAACCTTGCATTTGGAAAAAAAACTCCTCGAGCTGGCCTACCCTAGGACTCTCTTTTTTGTGTGTGTAGGGTGGGGGTTGGGACCTGATGCCTCCCATCCCCATCCCCCAACCTAGTGTCCTCCTTTGGCCCCATGGGAGAGGAGTAAAGATGGAAAGAGATGCCTCTGGGAATGCAGTAAGGACTGGGATGAAAGCTAAGAATTAGGTGGGCATGGGGGATGCTGTTTTGAAGTTCTTAGCGCCCTCTTGTATCAGCCCTGCTCAATGGGTAGATGGATGTGCTCAGGGGCACTGGGATGCAGGAGGCAGAGTGTGCTGTAGGACTCTGGGAGCCTCTGGGACTGCCTCTCTTCTCCTCTACCCTCACTCCCCTCTTGCCCCCAACTTGGAGCCACTGGGGCTCCCCAGTTACTATAGTTGCATTAGTAAAACAATAGCCACTTTTATGTTTCTTTCCTGTACCTAGGAGGCAGGAATTCTCTGCCCTTTTTGGAGATGAGGAACCTGTCTCAGAATTCAACCTGCCCCTGCCCACTGTGGCTATTCAGGTTGGAGAAGAGTGGGTAGTTCTGGGGAGCTGCTGGGGATGGCTGGTTCCCCCAACTCTGCCTGCCCTGCTTTCTCCAAGTACCAGGAGGAGGTGGGGCCGTTTCTCAAGGTAGCAATCCCAAGGGCAGGGCTGCCATCTGTACCCTGGATAGGACAGGGGCTGGGAGGAAACAGGTGTCAGTGAAGGCTGAGGGGAAAGAGTGATTTGCATGAGGCTAAAAATTCCCCTCCCTCTTGGGTTTTCCAGCACAGAGTCTTTGAACCTTTCTCCACCTAAAAATAGAATCACATCTTTGTAGGGGTGCCGATGCCCAGCTCTGCTGGGGACTGGTTTAGTGTAGCCCTGGGTTTGAGCCCCGGGGCCTCTGCAGGCAGCCCTGAGGCCTGACTGAAGACATCCGCCCTCAAGTCCTGGACTCCTGGAGGGCTGAGGAAGCCCTCCCTGCCTTGAACTGTCGCCAAGGACAAGTTTTTCCTCCCACAGCAGGCTGGAGTGCAGCCTGTGAGGTTTCCCTCGTCCCCTAAGTGAGGAGGCTGAACCATAGCCGGCATAAATTCCAAGTGATCGTGGGGCCGAGAGGAAACCATCAATGAAAGCTTCCAAATTATTTGGCTCCTGAGAAGGCAGAGATGAAAAGCAAGGATTTGGCGGCAGATGATGTTTGCACTAAATCTCCTCGCTGGGCTACTCCCCTCTCTCTCTGTGAGGGGTTGAAGAGGAGGCCCTTTACAGTCTATAGGGCCTAAGAGCAGAGAGCTTTGGTCACCTTGGTGGAAGGGGATTTGTGAGTCCCATCTGTCCAGTCCCCTGCAGTAATATATCTGTGGGGTGGCTCTCAGGCAGGTCACACAGTATGTTTCCAGTCTGACCCACGATCCCAACCAGAATGCTTATAAATTGATGTGCATGGTGCAGTCCCGTCCCTGGTGGGGAGCCCATGGTTCCCTTTGTATCTTCATTTCTCAGTGTGGACAGTGATGGCACGGGGGATTTGATAACCAGGAGTTCTTAGCTTAGCAGCAGCACCAGCACATAGTGAAGTCAAAAGCCACAGTAAGGGCTGGGCTTGGGTCTACGCCAGACCAGCGGCTGCCCCTGTGATGACCTGCCAGGGGCCGCCCTTCTCAGTGCTCCTGAAGGTATAAATCTAGGGGTTCCCTCTATACCAGAGTAAGGTGCTGCAGGGCTGGGAAAAAAGTGCTCTGACCAGCAGTCAGGACCCTGGACAGGGCTGAGGCCTGGAGGCCCAGCTTCCCTTCTGGCCTTTAAACAGTCCGTGGTCTCCCTTGGCCAGAGTGAAAGAAGGGGTGGGGGAATACAGGCCTCAGTAATGGAGCTGAAGGGACAGGCCCAGGGGTTCCTGGGAAAATGGATTTTTGGTGGAAGTGTACCAAGTCTGAAATCGGCTGCAGGATCCCCTTTGGCAGTAGAGGAGAAAGGTTGTAGAGGAGAAAGGCAGTAGAGGAGAAACCCAAGGACACAGTTCTGCTCCCTTCCTCTGCTCTGCCTGCCTGCGGGATCCCAACAAAGCTGAGATGTGTCCCTTAGGGCTTAAATCAGCAGGCCAGCCCTGAAGGAAGGGAAGGGCTTAGTCTGTCCTGGGTAGGGGGTACTAGTATATAAACCATGCTGTGGCCTTGGGTTTCTGGCCTGGCTTGTCTGACCAGATCACATAACTAGTATTGTCTGCGAATCTGATGGAATCACGAAGGCTATTCTTTTAAATACTAACACCAGGCCCCATCCTACCTCACCCCCAGAAGTTCTGACTTAAATGGTCTGGAGTGGGGGCCCCAGGTCCCTGTACTTTTTTCGAAGCCCTTTTGTTGGAAACCAGGTTTGAGAACTACTGCCACAGACCTTTCTCCTTACTTTGCTAAGATGGGAATTCCTGGCTTGATCCTCCCTGGAAGGACCCTGAGGTCGAAGGAAAAAGAGGAGGCCTTCCAGCCTGGTTCAGTGACCTAAGCAAAGGCAGGGAATGTGGGTGAGTGGGGTACACCAGCTGATCCCTCCCCCCCCAACAGTGGCCAAGGGACTGACAGTTTTCTGCCAACCCATTGGCCTGGCCTGGGTATGAAGGACAGTTCAGGAGGAGACCTGAGACTGGCCCCGTGGGTTGGAAGCTGCTGTTTGAGGCTGTGTCTTTCTCAGGCCTGGTGCAGAGAGGCAGACGGAAGGACAGGCCGAGCAGTGGGGGTTTCCCCTGGGCAAGGTTTTCAGAAAGTCTGAGTCCCCAGAAATCAGCCAGTGGGCAGGGACCCAGGTCTTCAGGACCCAAGAGCTACTGATAGTGATTAAGCTCAGCAAGCATGTGAGGGCACCTGACAGGCCCAGCTGGATGCCAGGGGGGAGAAGTTGGGGGAGACGCAGAAAACGCAGGCCCTGTCTCCAGGGAGCTGGTCCTTTGGTAGTAAGATGCAGGTGCTACACAGGAAAGCATCCGTTAGGAGAGGTGTGGCCAGCTTTGCCACTGAGGAACTCTGACTGTCCATCCCTGAGCCTCCAGGTCATCATCTGTAGAGTCCTGCCATGGCCTCTCTGTTCAGTCGAAGTGACTGTCCTTCCCTGAGGCTTGTGGAGCCCAAAGGTGGAGGAAGTGAGTGGAGGTGCAGACTGGCCTCCCTGGGATCGAAGTCTTGATGGGTGGGATAGGAGTTGGGATGCATCTGTCCTTTTCCTTTGTAGGCCATGACAAATTGGTAAACCCCTAGACGAGAGAGTAGGGCTCTCTGCGGTTTCCACAGGGACTCTTTACCATACTCAGCTTCTTGCCCTTGGGGACAGGGCCTCAGAGAAAAAGATGATCCTTGTGAATACGCATTGTCTGTCACCACTGGAGTGTCCCCCAGACTCAGGGTCCATGAAAGTTCCTATCTAAGTTCTCCCCACTAGAAAAGGCAGCAAGGATGCAGCTTATTGGCTTGACCTGTTGCTTTTAAAAAATGGGATCCTTCTACCCTGGGTACCGGCATGGGTGGCCAGAATGTGTTGGGGTGCAAAACCACAGGGTAAAGAAGGTGCCTTCCTAGAGGAGTACAGGTGCTATCCAGATGTTTGAAATAACATTTTGTATTAAAACAGTGATGGCATATGTTATAGTAAAAGGCAAAATGCCGACAAACTTTAAAGATAAAATAAGAAAAATCCAGAAAGGTTTTATGCTTGCCCTGTGGTTTCAAGCCATGTTTCTAGTCAACAGTTCCTCTGCCGCCCTGTGGGGCAGGCAGGCAGGTGGTGAGGGGGAGCCCTTCCACTGGGCCAAGTGCCTGCTTTCTTAGA